ACATCCAATAAATACGAAGAGAAAAAGAAGTGGGTGAACTTTTTGGAGTATACAATAATAAATTAAGTGATATATGATCATATGTAAACCGATAAGTAGATACAGAAGTACTTTTATGTTGCCGATGTGAGCTGCGAGCAGAGCAGCGCTTGGAGCATCGATAAAAGCAGTACTACGATACTTCCTTACTTACGTTGTTGTGTTTATATTAAAGTTATGGAAAATGAGAAGAATAGTGCTTTTGTAGGCGTAAAGATGAATGTACACAAGTAAAAAATCGCTCTGTAAAAGAAAGTTCATATAACATCAAAATACTAGCAGTATAACGCCATCTACTGATACTTACTACTAACTATAGTATTTTATATGTTCGAATTAAGAGTTTCGAATAGAAAGCTGTAGAAAATACAAGAACATGCTAAACTTAACCTACATTGACGCCAATCGTTTGTTTGTTAGCTCTTTTGTTCGTAAATGGAGTCTATTTTTAGGAAAAAAACGTTATCATTTTGTATTGTATGTTGTACCTATTACACTGATTGTGAGGCTAAGTGCACCTCATACTGGCTCACATTAAATTGTAGTAGATTTGCTTTTTTTTAGTAATTAAATACTTTCAGGGTTTATACGTATTAATTAAATGTTAGTTGAAGGTAAAACTTTTTATCATATGTATACTTCGGTATAAATACCTGTAGGTACTCATTACATTTACAGCTGGTGGAGAATATGACCTTCCAACGCGTTAATAACTGTAAGAAAAAAATATAACGTTAATTTTTCTTAAACTAGTAGTGGGGCACATTATTAGGAGTTTGATTTTGAATAACAACACGAAAAAAAGGAAAATGCAATAAATCATAGGCATAAGCACCAATTAGATATAATGGGCACTTTAATATGTAAACATTGTATTCCTACGCTCTAGTTTTGGTGTGGTTTTGATCAGGTTTTTTTTTATATATTTTATTATTTTTTCTACTTTTATTTTTTGACGCATAGTTAATTTTTTTGGCTTTCTGTATTCTGATAGTCTAAATTACCGAAACTATTTCCAATTTTCTGATTCTCACTAACGTCTATATTAATACTATTATCTACCCTCATAATTGCTATGTCTCGCGCATCCACCACTTTTTATTAACAATATTTGAATTTTGTAAAAATTACGAAGGGCTTTTTAAAAATAGTATGGATTAGTTTTAATTGTAAAAGTACACACATTATAATCAGTGTCGTCGTTAAAGTCGATTAGGGGTGAGGGGGTACAGTCCCAGACCTATACTTTACGGGAGCCTTGCTTTCTTAAGACTAATTATTTTAATTAAAAATAAACTGAAAAATTACTAAAAACTATACTCTTGTAAATTAACAGATAAAAATAATAATGATAATCACAATAAGAAAAATAAAATATAATTATCGAAAAATTGTGAAATTTGTTTTTTTTTTAGAATGTTAAAATGTTATATATCTAAAATTATAGCAAAAACTTTTTTTATTTTTTTATTAAAAATGATTGAAAAAGTTATCTAGTACTTCAAGAAAATATTGATAATATGTATAATCATTTAGGATTATGAAATAGATCACCCATTTCCAACAAACGCAGATTAAGTCAGTTTAGGGCAGTAATTACGGTATTCTTATATTTTCATTTTTCAAGTATCTGACGCATTTTTAAAGAGAGCTCTTTTTAAATTTTGTACCCGGGCCTCTCTTTACTTAAAGCCGGTACTGGTTATGATATAAACAATATCTAGTACCTACATATCTTAAGTGCCCTTATCACAAAATAAGACTTCACTTTTTTAATGAAAACGTGTATTAATTTTGACATGCGTGGCTGATTTATATGTACCATCATTTTTAATTACTTACTATTTGACGTTTTTATCATCAAAAGTGCTTGTTCTATCATTGTTCGTATAATGCTTATTATTTATCATATCATTATATCGTTATTGATTAAGGAATTGTTAATTATTGCAAATTTGATAACTGGTTTTTGTTAACAGTGGCGTAATAATGATGAATTTTTTATTTTTTTGGTCTTAGTATTTATATTTCATTTTTTGTGTAGACTGCTATTAGGGCCTCAAAAATGTTAAGTAGGCAACCAACTTTACGCGAATAAAGCTTATTAAGTAACCGCTGACTATTTTAATTGTGATTTTATATTAGGTACTTGTGATAATTAGAAATAAATGAAAACCTTTTTAAATTTATGTTTACATATTGTAATTTTAATTTTTTATTAATTTCTTTATATCATACTTGGATTATCCTAAACGTCTACAAGCTTCTATACATATAATATAAAGTAAATAAAATTGATTATGATTTTCAATTGTGTAACAGATTTTGAACAATGAAAATTCCACCTCTTCAGTGGTGGGTTAACAATGTTTATCGGTAGGTTATTTCGAACTTGTTATTAGTTCTCATTAGCACATTATTCATAAAATGGCTTCGCAAATGTGGATGAGGGAGGGGTAGTGCTTGGCGTGACGAGATATGACAAAGGGGGGATCTAAAGAAATATGACGTTCTCAGTTCATTAATTTTATTTTAATTTTTTTCTTAACTTGGCTGTTCATACAATTTTTCACTATGATAGAAAGTCAGTCTCATTGCTATTTTTAAATACAAGAAATCGTTTATAGGGGGGAAGCAGCTTTTTTTGCGTCATATTTGTTAGGGGGGGGTCACTGAAAATATGACTCAGAGTGACGAAGGGGGAGGGAGGGGTGCAAAAAGGCGAAAAGCATCGATAAATGGCTGATCAAACCGTAGTTACTCCGTAAAAACACGTTGAGAGGGTACAATTTACGTTGGATATGTGAGGTGTTAGTGGAGCAGCGCTAAGAGCAATGGTGCTTCCTTGCTTATTATGTGAATATGTACAAGTGATGATGGATTCTAAAGAGGAAATGTTATTTTCATCAGGATCTCTCAAATGGTACCTTATGAAAAAGTGTCGATCAAGACGCCATTATGTAGCACATCCAATAAATACGAAGAGAAAAAGAAGTGGGTGAACTTTTTGGAGTATACAATAATAAATTAAGTGATATATGATCATATGTAAACCGATAAGTAGATACAGAAGTACTTTTATGTTGCCGATGTGAGCTGCGAGCAGAGCAGCGCTTGGAGCATCGATAAAAGCAGTACTACGATACTTCCTTACTTACGTTGTTGTGTTTATATTAAAGTTATGGAAAATGAGAAGAATAGTGCTTTTGTAGGCGTAAAGATGAATGTACACAAGTAAAAAATCGCTCTGTAAAAGAAAGTTCATATAACATCAAAATACTAGCAGTATAACGCCATCTACTGATACTTACTACTAACTATAGTATTTTATATGTTCGAATTAAGAGTTTCGAATAGAAAGCTGTAGAAAATACGAGTGTAAATTCGGATGTAAATTTTTCGAATTGTATTTGACATGAAATATTTTGGAATATACATACATCAAGATGCCACCCTTGTTTCATCATTTAAGGGTTGGTTTACCAAAAACATTCAAGTAGGTACTCTACTCCATATGCAAACAAATTGCCATTAAAATTCTGTTTCCTTTTTCACATCTTATTGAAAAATTATTTTCTAGCTATCACATATCAAATTTCAAGAGTAATTTCAAAAAATTTGTTAGACATACCTTTAGCCATCTTNAGTTGTAATGTCTTTAATGATGTTGATGGCGTCTTCGATGTATAGATTAAAAAGTAGCGATGACAGTGTACATCCCTGCCTGACTCCCTTCCTAATATTTACTTATCTACGTTGCATCCCCAGCTCTATAACTGCCTGTTGCTCTTTACACAAACTAAGTATCACTCTTCTATCTTTATAATTCATCCCTATAGTATAAAATACTAATTAATTAATGAGTTCGTTAATTACTTACGAAATACGTTAATAAATTACTTTAAGTTTACTTATTTGTGTAGATTACCAGGTTGAATTTTTCGGGTCAGTGACGACGTATTGCTTATTTTCGTTACTTCCTTTATCAGTTATCAGTAATGTTAATTTCCTTTCCAGATTGATAAAATCCAAAGCCTATTGAGGACGGATAAATTCGAACAATATGGTACGTTTTATAATTTTGTTTCTTTTATTAGGTGCTTATTACTATTTTTATGTTTCGTTTTTAGGATAAAGAGCCAGGTGCTGTTACAGAACTAGATACGTTCATTCCGAAAGAAAGCAATGGGGCTGTTAAGTAAGTTTTTTTAACATTCTTTTTTGGGTTTTTGGGAAAAAGTTATACTGGTTTTAGTGATACTTGATTAGGAACTAAATATGGTACAATAATCTAAATAAATAATTTAATTTTAGGTTAGGTTTTATAATAAAATTGTCTTTTTTATGATAAGCCATGGTATATTGAAGGTTGTAATAAAAAAGACAAATGAATATATATTCGCAAATTCCTATGTATTTACAACCCCAGAGCAAGTATTTTTATTTTCATTGGGGTTGTCATTGGGTGATTGTTTTGGGTTTTTGTTCGATTGTTTGTATGGAATTTTTACAGAGAATTTTGTAGTTTTTAATGAAAAATCTCGGAATGTGGCATGTGTCTCGATTTTTTATACATATTTTCCTTTGATATCCTTATCCAATACGTATGAATAATAACAATAAATAATAGAATATAGTAAATAATAAGCAAAACAGACCATTTTAAATGATATAACTGTTGTATTATTTTTTTTTATGGACGTACTTATATAGTTATCAATAATAAATAATAATGCATTGTGTGGGAATATTTGTGCATCGCGTGCGGTATCTGCCATTGTGGTAGACTTTGATCTGTTCGTAGAATGTTTTTGTGATGAAATATTCATATCCGGAAGTAAACAAAAATGTCAAAGAGCAGCTGATTGTTGTTTACAAACGAATATTTGTTTTGTTATGTAACAAGTACAAATAATTGTATTTGTATTTCAAAAGTTTGTGAAATCCACTTTTTCCCGCCTTTTTATTATACGAATGAAATCAAATTTTGTGTTTCTAACACACTTACACACTTTTTACAACTTTTCTATATGTAGAAAGGGTTCGCGAACCTCATACCGTAACACAGTGTTTGACAAAATTAAATTGTTGGACAGTTAACCATTAAAAATTAATTAATTGTTAATCACGTTTGTTACAATTAACAATTTAGTTGTACTTGTGATAAGTCGCAATTAACAATTAATTAAGTAGTTGAGTAGAGGCCTATATACATATATTTTTACCAAATTCTCCAGAATAGTCTTCGTTCTTCTCGAAAATTTTCGAACTCCTACTGTTAAGCGGCAAATATGTGTCACTCAGGTATCATTTATTACCCTTCGCGTCTTTAGTACAAAGGTTGTCGATTATCGGCCGGACTCTGCATGCGGACATACTCAAGAACTGTCGGGAATGTCAATGTCATGCTTGTACGTAACAATACATTTTTTATTGGGTACTTAATTCAGGTATTTTCGTCCAGTTATGCTGTGCATTTTGAACACGTCCTTCGGGCAGTACTGGATTAAGAAACTAGGGGGTCCTAGGCAGATTTTGGTAGGGGCCTATGTAAGGAGAGCGTATAGTCGAAATTATTTTTAATTTCCTGCTAATAGGAGCTAGCAAAAAATAAAGTGATAATTAACAAACAATGTAAATTTATTGAAATTGCTTTTAATTAATTACTGTATATTCATATTAGTGGGGGGGCTATATGTTTTCTGTAATGAAATTATTAATAGAGCTCTCTACGTGTTAATTTACGCATTTTGACTTGCTTTGCGACGTCTTCGACGTGTTTAAATGTCAACATTCGAACGTCGATGGAATTATTAGATTACATTAAGCTACAGTACGAAGGTATCCTGATTCACATGTGTGATGTATATATGCCTTGGGCTCACATTAGGTCAGTGGGTTTTTGGCCTTTTGAAGTGCGGCCCTGTCTGGCCCTTGTAGTATGGCTCTGTCGTAAATGTTCACGTGTGGTCGGTAATAGTGGTTCAAATCGCATATGTACAGCGCCATAAGTCATACTACATGATCTTCAGATTGACACTTCTACAAAGGGTAGGGAAGAGAGTTGGTTATAAGATTAGAGGATGATAGATAAAAATAGTTAGAATTGAAGAGGTGTTGGAACAAGTAGGAGAGCAAAGGGGGTTCATCATCATGATGATTACTGATGATCTTCAGTCCTAAGACTGGTTGGACACGCACATCGACTCTTTCCTATCCTGAGCTAATATTCGCATCTCCCCAAAACTAGAACATCCTTAACTATTTGCGAGCAGTGATTTAATCTAGGTCTACCTCTACCCCTCCTAACTTCCGTTTCTGCCTCTAATATCTCTCTGACTAGACCTTCATGCCTGATAAGGTGTCGTACTAACCTAACTCGCCTATTTCTTATTGACTTCCATAGAGTCCTCTGTTCTTCTATTCTTTCTAATACCTCCTCATTTCTAACCTTCCCTATCCATGGTATCCTCATCATTCGACCACTGTCCATGTTTCGCATCCGTACAGCGCCGTGCTCCAAATATACATCTTTAACAACTTTTTTCGAATTTTTAAGTTAACTGTTCGCGACCATAGAAATGATTCCTTTTGATTGAAGGCGACTGGACTCTACGCTATCTTCTGATTCCCTACTACTCCTTCCGTCCCGGCTTATCTGACTTCCTAGATACCTAAAATCAACCACTTCTTCTAATTTTTCGTCTCCTATCTTTATATTCGCTCTTTTTCTACTTTTTCTTCCCTTGCATACCAGTATTTTTGTATTACTTTTATATATTTTCCTACAATACTGTTTTTCAATACCGCTTCCATTTTATTTAAAGCTATCTCTAACTCCTCCTTGCTAGATGCTAATACTGCTATATCATTTGTAATCTTTTGCCCTTGTATAACTATCCCTACAGTTGTACTGTCTTTAAAGATGTTGATCGCGTCTTCGATGTAGGGATTAACAAGTAGCGGTGACAGTGTGCATCCCCTTCTGTCTCCCTTCCTAATATTTACTTCTCTATGTCGCTCTATAACCGCCTGTTGCTCCTTATACAAACTATGGAAGTTAATAATGAAAAGGGAAGTTGGGACATGAGGATTAAATTACTGATAGTATAAACCAGGGGTCGGCAACCTATGACCCGTGGGTCACCGAGTGACCCATTTGGTAATTTCGAGTGACCCACATTTTTTTCTTTTAACCAAAAAATTTTTGTCGCAAAGTTATGAACGTACCAAATTTGAATCCAGTATAACAAGCCATTGATATCGTAGAGAAAGATTACAAATAAAGTTTATTCAACTATGTTTGTAATTATTTTCTTAATAAAATATATCTTATTATTTACTAAAATGCTGTTTTAATACGAAAATATCTCTGACCCAAACGTCTCTTTAATACTCGCAT